AAATCGAAGTTTAAAAAACTTTCATGAAAATGTCAGTCTTTCGTTGCGTTTTATGCACTCCAATCTAATTAGAAAATTAGGTTTCTGTAAAAGAAAAAAATGGCTAAAAATTTGTCACTTTTACTAAAAATAATACAAATTTCTGAAATAACAATGAACTTCTAATAACATGAAACGTCCAATAAGCTAAATATTTGGTGGGATAATAGTATTAAAAATATTGTTAAATATATCCTCTGTTTGTAACTGAAGTTTGAAATTCATTTTTTATTTTTTAAATAGTTCTATGCACATGAATGAATAAATATTGTTTCTACAATTTTGTCATGAAATTAATCGTACGTACATAGGATTTTTTAAAATATGAACACGTCGTTAAAAGAAAACTAACTATCGATTCAACACTAAGTTTCTAGAGACACATTTTAATATGTCGTTCCAGACTGACCTAGATACAAAGATCGATAATTCTACATAATAAATCAAGTTTTGTGTTAAAGATTATAGTAAATGCTTGGTTACAACGTCTAACAATACTATCAACCTTGACCACTTTGTTCAGTTGAAGTTCAATGCAAAAAGGTAAAACTCAATAATTAGTACAAAATAAAATTGCTCTTAAATCTAATTAATAATAATAATAATAATAACAACAACATCAGTAATATAACAAATATTTAAGAATAATTCCAATCAACTGAATTGTACCAATTAGTCAAATTAATAAATTGTTTGATGAAAGAATATTTGCTACATCCATGAATGTCTTTATAAAAATATGTGTGTATATATACTTTCGTTAAAAAAAAATTAATTTGTGAAATTTAAAAAGGATCGATTGAACGAAACATCGAGTATTTAAAAAAAGTTATTATAGCGATGATGGAGTACACAAATTAATTCCTAGATTAAAGAGAAAACTTCCTTACCTGGAATTGAGAACTATTGCCACTTTTGGTAAACCAGTGGTACCGCTTGTGTAAATGTACAACAGTTTATCCCTATAATTAGGTTCGTCCTTCACTTCTGGTTCCTCGGTAGAAGCTTCCGATAAAAGTTTATTTAGATCATACACTCCATCCTCAGAGGTCTCAGACTTCTTGCATACTTTGTATCTCACCATTTCTTGAATGGAGTCCTTAATATCATCAAGGGCTGTGAAGAAAGTTTGACTTTAGTCTGTATCTGGTGTCCTTTTTTTGACTTAGTTTCTTTTTATATTCAGCGTTGCTTTTAATATGTAAAATTGGATAATTTGCATTATAAATTTATAAGTATTTAAAATGTGCAACCAAGTGCTTACTAATTGTAACTGACAATGAGTTTAGATAATAATGCATCTTAGATATGTAAACAATATGTAAAATTCATTTTAATATCAATACTTACAAAATTATATTTGAACTTGAAATGCAGATATCAATATCTTATCAAATGGCTAGATTATATTCGAACTTTGTAATTTACAATTACAATTTTTTACACTTTACCCTATCTTTGTTTTGCCTATCTCGTAATACTTCATTACTGTATCTTTATTTTCATCATTTTAAAGTTTAAGAAAACACTTGGCTTGTCGTTTTTTGATTTCTACGCTATTCTTCCAAAATCAATCAGTATGATTATCTGCGATTGGGACTAAAAATAGCGTCGTACGGGTATAGGTATAACGTTCAAGTTTATGGAAGTTTTGATGGAAGAATTTCAAAAAAGAAGTAGTACAAATTCAGTTTACAAAACTAAGAACAACTGTAATTTTGAAAACAACACATCCTTCGGTATTGTATTCAAAAACATATTTCAAAATCAATGTAAAATTCCCAGATTACTACAGTATCTCTCATAACATCCTCATTATTAAAAGTATCACAGATATCCAGGTAATTATTTTGCCATTGATCTTTCCAGTAGTAAAATTGACAGTTAATTTTCTTAATTCCTAAACAAGAAAATCCTTGTACTCATAATATTTATCGTTTCTTATTTTCCAATTGTATCTTTCCTGTACAGTTGTATATTATTTCATTGATGTTGTATTTACCAGATGAGTATTCTTCCATATAAATGATACTCTTCACTTCAGCGATACGAAGACAATGAATCAACGATTGCAGACGTAAATTTGTATTAATCAGAGCCGTGACGACCCCCAGTTTTCCCAGACCGAGCCAGATCGCGACATACTCTGGCCTGTTCGACATCATTAAAGCCACAGCATCCCCCTTCACGTATCCCGCTTTTTGAAAGATGTTCGCTATCTGGTTGCTATATTTATTAATCTGCAAGTTTTAAGTTTTACTCGTTATTTTTTTTAGGGGATCCCTCATATCTGCAGACGAGAACGGGGAAACAAAGAAAAACAATTTTTATTCGCTTGCAGATAAGATTCGAATTTATAATAACCATTGTTTTCACTTCCTAATACTTTTTCATGAATGGAAATTATTTTAAACTACTTTCTTGTGCTACACACTCTTCGCCTTCTAACCGGACAATACGAACAAACGAAAATCGTTCTTTCTTCAAACGTGTCCTTTTTCTTTTTTTTTTTTTTTTTTCAATTTTTATTTCACTTCAAACGAATTAAACAATTGAAAAAAAATTCTGTTGAATAATTTTCGATCTTTCTTCTCACAACTTGCTGCAAAACATTCTGAATGTATTTTTCTTCCTACCAGGAGAGTATTATTTTGTGAATTAAATAGATAAGATATTGATTGAAAATTAAATTGACAATTTAAAAAGTGCTCTTTAAAACGATGGAAAAATAATTAAGATTGGTGTTTTTTTTATACATACATCAGAATTAGTCCAAACTTGATCTTCAAAGAAGAAACAAGGTTTATTAGGATAACGTTCCACTCTTTTCTTAAATACCTTCACGACAGTCAAATTATTTTTACGTTGCCCTTTCACCTCGCGTTCGGCGGTAACGGCACGGTAAAGAAATCTGAAAAATAGAAATTAATAGTTTAGCGTGGAGTTGACATTCTTACGAAAATTTCTTCTTTCTGCTGAGGTCCAATTTCTTTTTTTTGAATAGTAACATATCGCAACTTTTATATACCTAAAGCTTCTTAATTTTTCAGGTAACATTTATACTGTGCGCCTTTATTCAACTAATTCTTGTGATAAAGGTACAATTATGTTAATTATTTTGACAACAATTATGTTGACACAAAGTTAAAGGAATCCATGAAAGCAATTATATTCAATTTTCCATATTTTCCTTAAGCTTCAGAAGAAGATATTATCAATGTGATTTATTTTCATGAGAAATAAATTCAGGTTCATAATTTTGCAACCCCTGAACATGTATTTTTCTCGCTTCTATCGCAGGAAACGAAAGTACTACTTTCCCTCAATTACAACTATCATTTCTTCCAAGTAGCTCAAAAACTGCACTAATAATAAAGTCATTTTTGCATATGTTCTAAAATTTAAAATATAAAAAAAAGACAGTTAAGCGATCCTCGAAACAGAACGATCAGAATTCATGTTCCCCAGAATAATCGCGAAAATTTTGCAAATAATAATTTACATATAGGTATCCTGTTAAAAGTGTCGCGAAATCGTATGACACAAACGCTTTTCGCGGTCTGAGAACGAAGCAAGTGCTTTTAAAATATTTACAGGGCCGCTGAACTGTTCGACGTAACAACTATAGAAATAAACGAATTGTGAAAGTAATGAAGGTAAAGAAGAAGGTAACCGACGTAAAAGGGAATTTCCGTTAGTTAAGGATCTTGCATCGATTAAAATTTGGGAAGTTATGCAAAATTTCAATTTCCGTCGTAAGATACTGTAATAAACAGCGAAGCACCGTTTCCTGTTATCAATTCTGAAAAACTTGAAAATTTTCAATGTGTGACTTGCCGCAAGAAGTGTATGCAAATACCTGCCTTGTTACTATCATTAATGTCAGTGATAGCGAAAATTCGTAGATAACACTGTCAGCGAAAAACGGCACAACAAATGTTAATCTTCTACGAGCCTATACTACAGTTTTTTTATTTCCTATTTTTCTTATTGTTTCTCTTCTTTTTCTGTATAATTTTTTTTTGAAAAGGTAAACAAAATATCGCCTTGAAAATTATGAATGAAAAGTTTCTTCAAGAAGTCACATTTTTTCCTATTATTAAAGTACTAATTGATCTAAGCAATTTCTATACAAAGATTTCAGATTTGAATGAAACTGAGTAATTTTTATTTCAACATTGCCAAACAGTTAAAAAATTCTAATTTAGTCGCTAATATTTATCAAACTAATATTTGAAATAATTTAACAAAAGAGGGACAAAAAGATAGTGTTTCACTTTTCCATTTATTTTTCCTTATATTTTACTTCTTTCTCAAATTCAAAAAGATTGTTTCATGGTTTCCTTTAACGCACGAGTTTTGCACTTTATAAAACTTTTATCAGTTCCTTTTCAATGTTACAACTGCGGAATATTCGTATTAAAACGCAGATTTTTTTCGAATGCATAAATAATTCATATCGTAATACTTCTAGCGATAATTAATATTCTCCTGAATGAGGTCTCTAAGCTCGTGATTTATAAGCAATTATAAACATGTATAAACCTAAATTTATGCCATGAATTAAAATCTGCTTAAAAAGCTATACTAAAATGTAACGTATCTTTCGTATTAGATAAATTCCAAATAAAATGATATTCATAGACCGTTAATATTTGTGCATTCGTGATTATTTCGTGCATACAGATTGCTTCGTATTACTTTCGACAGAAGCCACTAAAATACTGTGAACACAATTGAGAAACGATTCCTTTTACTTTGTGCGTGTCTGAAAATGTTAACAAATTCGAGAAACAATTATGTCACGTGAGACAGTCGGTATAAAATATTCAAACATTCTACCGTATAAGGATAAACTACATAAGGATACCGTTGTCAAGTTCAATAAACTGTACTCAATATGTACATCAACTATACGCAATTATTTCTCTATTTTACCAACAGAAAAGTGTATACTCTCGGTGCGTAATGCAGTTTGCAATCATTGGCCGAATCATTCTTCTTCAATAACTATCCCATAAACTTCCGACCCATATTTAATCTTCAAATATTCTTTCAAATATTCCTACCCAATCTACCATGTTAACCTTTGTATTCTGCAATCGACGTTCGTTTAACCGTTAAACAGTAACAGAACCAGTTTCTTGCACCAGACAAATAATTTTGAGGTTCTCTGCTCAATGCGGTAACCTCTGTTATCGTTTCTGCTGCATTATCTCGATATGCATGCGTTATTTCCGCGGTGCGTTACGAGCAGATACGAAGGAAAATTTGTGGAAGTAAGTGTTTCTGCTGTCTAACGGTCCTTTTGGTCAACACGCATAACCTTGCGCAAGTCACTAACCGAATATAGTTCAAGAAAGGCGTATGTCTGATGCGTTAGAATAATGCAGAAACCAACGTGTGTACATATAATGTACGGTTTTCGTAGTAAACAGTGGTTGAGATAAGGTTGATAAGGCAATACGAGTGTGAAAGTTGAATTAATCGGGTCAAACGAATGAGGGGACACGGTTTCTACGTTTCATGATCAGTTTTCTATTAATTCGCTTGTTTTTCTTTTTTTAGAAATGCACAGCGCAATTTTCATGCGATTAAAACAGCACTTTCTGTCGGTTTATCCAAGCACAGAAAAACTTTTCAAATAAGTGCAGCTTTTGTTAATGTAGAAGACATAATCTATAAAAAAAAAAAAAAAAAAAAAAACAAAAAAAACAAATGCAAACAGTATTTACAATTATTAGGAACTGTTCGATTTCGGAAGTTAAACAGGTATTAAGGTGCATTTTTTTACAAATAATGATACTATATTTGGATTGATATGTTTGTGACACAAGATTAGATTAAAATTAAAATTGGCAAAGATTAGATTAGATTGAAAAATTGGAGCATTAATAATACAGAACGCATACATATGCAGGATGTGTAAAGTAGAATAAAAGTGACTGATAAACTTACCATGACCTTATGCAGCTTACAGTAAAATCAATGTACATAAATAAATTTCTACCCTCGACAATGCTTCACTATATGTACTCAAACACACCATGGAAAATATACTTAATATTCACAATGATTTAATACACAATTTTTCTGTACTGTTTGCATAAAATCATCACTGAAAAAATCTAAAATTTCTACTTCAGCTTATCAGTTTTCATTTAACGACAAATAGGAAACGATTTGAAACTTACTTTAAGTCACGAGGCAGAACTTTGCAAATGATATACAGCTTCCGATGAAATCTGCAGACCACGGGAAGCAGTGCCAATGCGAGCGCGACCTGGGCAATTTTGTTGAACCCAGGAAAGCCGAACCTGGTTGCCACAACACCAAACATCGCAGCAATGATACCCAGAGCTAACAGCAAAAGTCTAACATCCATATTCCAACGTCACTCAGTTTCTCCACTGAGTTCGGCTACTCGTACCTCGAAACTGCGAAAGGGAACAGGACAATCAATCCCTTATGTGTCAAACCTACCATAAGAAATGTCGCGAACTGTTCATGTAGATAAGCAAAAAATGTTATTCAATTTTAAACTACTGATTCTTCATCAGCTCCCATGTAGGACAACAATTACTCCGTGATGTTTCAAAATTACGTAAGGTAGCGCGATCAGTGGTTTTATTTCTGAATCGCACAAGGTGCATCGATCAATACTTTGCGTTTTAGGGATAGGCGAGGTATCAGTATCTATCGTTTACATATTTCTGAACCCATGCGAAGTGTTAACTTTTATAAATTAAGCTTTCGTGAGTTTAAATCGCGCGAGATACGATGGTCAGTCTGTTCTGTTTTCAGGCCAACAAGAACACACCGTGAACTATGTTTTGCATTTCAGAATCACGCCAACTACTGCAGCCCATGTCTTTATCACTGACTTATGCGGAATTACTACGATCACATTCTTTGTTTCAATGTTACACAAGATTACCTCGGACAGCCTCTTTGTCTCACAGTAGTCGCACGTGCTACGACCGCTACCTTGCACTAGAGGGATACGCAACTACCACAACAATGATTATTTATACTTATGTGCAGCACACTGCGATCAATATTATATTCAGAATCACGTAAAACGTCACAATGAGATTTTCTTGCTCGAGCAGTACATAATCATTTCCTTTATTCGAAGTGACAGAAAGCAGAAGATTAACAATCAGTATTTTAGAGAACAAACTACTACGAGCAAATTTTAGTTGGACATTTCAAAACAAAATGGGATATCATGATAAATTTTGATGCATTTAGGAGCTGTACCAGCTATCACGATCTAATTTCTTTATGTCACAATTGCATTCGCAATAATAAATATACTCTGTATTTTAGCGATACTACAATTTATCTTCTTAAGCAATAGCATGAGTGAACTACCACGCGAATATACCACGACTCAATTTTCCGGTACGTTCCGGATGAGATAGCAGACGATTTTACACAAAGAGACATAGCACAAAAAATAAATATCTTTGTTAAAGCAAAGTCGCACACAGCGTGCAAGGGTCAGTACCTTGCTCTTTCTAAACGTACACGAAGCACCACAAATGATCTCGAATTTGTGGCTCAGAAATGCACGAGGCAGCGCGCAAATCAATATTCCGTGTTTCCCGACGCGAGAAATACCACTCTCTCGACGATGCACCGACAACACTAACAGCCGGCAACGCGACTGACTGGACAGCAAGCGCCGCGTTCCTCCGGCACTTCGCTATTGCGCCACCACCAAGAATTATTTCTGTGCAGTGGTATACGCCGAAGCTGCAGAAAATCGAAGTTTTATTTTAACGGGACTCCTACCAACGACGTTACTCCAACTCCACGTTCCCGTGGAATGGCTACTAAGCATGCTCAGACATTCTGTAGAACTGAACGAAAGGTGTTTCACTTTGTTTTGACGTTTTACTCTTTAACCTCGAGTTTATTCCCTAGAAGGATTTATGAAACTTGAAAAAAACAATAGGCCTGGATAAAATAAGATTTGTCAAAATTAATTTGCATATGAAAAACTTTTGAAAATTTCAATTCTTGTTTTTCTTCTTGGCATTTTATTGAGTAATACCAGAGTATCTATGTTATTTACCGGTATATAAGTAGATCTAGAATTATCTTTTATTTTTTAATGATTGTGTATTTAATAACTGTCCATTGATAAAATGATTTACCTTTGCAAATTGTATTACACTTATGAACTAATAAATAACTTATGTAAGAAGTAAATATAAATGTAACAGTTAATATTTCTTCACATCCATTTAACAAACGGAATTGGAATACTCGTATGTTATATTTATGAAATTTGTTGCCCTTAATTTTTAGTGCTAGTATTTATTATTTTTAGAAAAATATACTAACACTATTCTATGAAAATATACAGTTTGTCATGTTGATCTTCGTTAAATGCAATAGCAAATGCAATGAAACATTATACAAATTTATTTAATCAATTATTTACTTTTAATTTGATAGCATTTATTTAAAAATTAACACGGAATAATATTCAATTAGATATCCATATAAGTTCTTTAAATTTTGATACAGGAGATGATTATTCATATAGGTACAAACCTTAAAATTGATAACAAATTAATTATGTAATCAATATTCGCAATACTTTTTCTGTATCTTGAACTAAGTGTAAAAATAATAAATGAAAAACTAATAATTGACAATACTTTCATTTATTCTTTTACCTTATAGAACACAATAATTACCATTCATATGAATTGATATACAATCGGGAATATAAGACCGACGATATATGAACAATAAACATAGATAATAATAAAAATTGCCAAGCAGTAAATAGTTTTACTTTATAGAATAACACTAATATTTTCAAATTGATTAAATAAGATTTATTAGCAAAAAACAAATTTCAATACGCATTTTTAATTATCACAATTTTGAATACAGTATATTTAGAATTGAATAATAACATTGAAAGAAAGGTTATTAAATGGATCTTTAATATTTATATATATTTGAAATTAAAGGAAGCAAAAACGCACTTGAAGGTAGAACGCTCATAAGTATTGAAGCTTAGAAAACTATCGATAAACGCAAATAAAACATGATTCTTGTACATTTTGTTGCAAAACTACAATCATCATGCATACACATGTTACAGAAAAATATAAATAATTAAGCTTGATAAAATAACACTATATTAACTTCCATTATAGTTTATAAGTCTTTTATATTGAGCATTAATGAAATCAGAATGTATAGTAGGAATGTGATATAAGAAAGGAAATTCAATACAGAGTTATTTAATCATATGCTTAAATTTTTAATTTTTACACTATTAATCTGGTCACAGTAACTTTATTATCCATGTTTTATCATTTTCAATACATATTCTAATGTTAAATTTCTTTCAATAGATCACATGTGTTGCTACACCACATTTATATTATCTAACCGAAAAACATATTAAGGTGTTATTTTTTGGTAAAAACGTTTTAATCCATGATTTATAGAATCAATATACGATTTTTAAAACAACATAATTACTACTTTGTACAATTATTAGTCATTCAAATGTATGACTATGCATTAGGTGTACAACGATTTCAACACGATTATGTCTAATAATTTTACTAGAACTTCGTTTTAAAGAATGTAAGCATAAGACGTAAATAAATGGAGAAAAATATGCAGTTCTACCTTATAAATAAGCACCATCAGCATTTTACTGGAATTTAATTTAGACATATACTTATTACAGATTTATGTAAAAATGTAATAATCCTGCAATCGCATCAGCCACTTGTAATCAGCTTGCTACTAAATTAAACTCTTATAAAATATTCAACAGACACACAATAACTAATATATTTTATTTTTATTATAGCTTTACTGATTCAGAGCTAAAATAGGAAATGATGGGAAGACTTAATGAATTTCCTGAAAGTGAATGTATATTTGAAAGTAAATAGTTCAAATCGACTTCTTAAAGAAGGAGTAGTTGGCGGGAATAAGATTTGCAGCAACTTACAAAGAAGTTACCTAAGTTTGCTGGGCTGGATACAATTTTTATACATTGGTACATCTACTGGTGGTAAATATTCTAAAATAATTGTAAATTCCTTCTGTTCAATCTTGTGAACTTTTTTTATATATATCAACATCATCTAAATTCAAAATATCAAATTCTATGATATTTTTTCCTGCAAATTGGCCAAACACACCACTTGATATGCTACGTTTAACAACTGTAAAATAAAAACAAATAATGTAATTAATAATATTATATACCCATTTCATAGTATTCAATATATTAATAACTCTGACCATTTGAATTTACTTCTGTCAACATATATGTTGGTAAATCTTGACATTCACGAGCTATGTATGTACCAAGAACAGATAAATCAGTGATTGGTGGTGTAACTACTTTCATTGTTTGACGTACAATTTCTGTGTTTACTTCATAATAACCTGCACAAATTACAATACATACAATATATCAATATTAGTTATTTTTAAAATTAATATTTGTTTATTTTACAAAAATATATGTAACAATTACCATTATACATTTTTCTAAGAAGATCATACATGTTGCGCGGTGGTAAAACCGTTTGACGATTCAGTGGCATCACAAAACAACATTGCCCATCAATATCAATGATACCAGTTTTGCTCTGCAATAAAAAAAAGTACATAAGTGTTGCATTATAAAATTGAACAAAAACTGAGGATTAAGACTGAAAATAATTGTTGTTTGTAAACATGGTGTTAATTGAACTGCACTTCATTTGAGTTAAACTATGTACTGTAGTGTATTAATGGTTGCATAGTATATATAAATGTGGTGGATGATGTTGAGTGTTCAATGGTTGTGAAAGTTGTGTTTTATGTGATACATTCTTACAAAATTCTAACATCAAAAACTAACTAATGTTTTTATTGGCTAAATTACTTACAAAAAGGTGGTAATTATCAACAAGAGTAGATATAGCTATAGTTGGTGTAGGAAGACGGGAAAGATGGGCAAAAATCGGCAAATTTTAAGGATTCGTCAAGTTGGGTGCAGATGGACTGTGTTTACAATGGTACTTTTGGAATGGACTGTTGTTGTTTCTAGTTAAACTAGTATATGACTCCCAGTTAAGCCATGTTTTAACATTAAGGTTACACATTGAATCAAATATCTTTTATAATACATATTTCAATACATTAAACTCACAACATTAAAATCATGTATAAAACGGCCTTGACGTCCACCACGAAAATCAGGTACATCAATTTTAATTTCATTATTTTTCTCAATGTCCACAGCTTCTTGCTCTGTTGCCTTTGTTAAACTTTTCAAAATCAAATCAGAATTTGCTATAAAGCTTTGATGTACTGCATCTCTGGTATAAGGTAATTTATCTGTATTGTCATAGGGAATGCTGTACCATCCTGTTCTAAATCTGTGCATCTGTGTTTGGGCATACTGCCTATATAGGTATAAACCACCAATAACTCCAATTATAAATATCATAAGTGCAACAAGGAACAACAAAAATGTTGAAGTCACATGAATACGATATATACTCTTTCGAGAAACAAAATAGGGACCTTTCACAGATTTCAAATCTTGAGCCTCTGCATCTCTTTTACCATTTTCCTGTTCAAAATAAAATATTTATTTATAAAACAACTTATTTTGTGAAGTATATGGTAAAGTAATAAAAAATAATTTTATTTAAAGTTCAACAATGAACTAAAAAACAGAACTTTGCTTTTATAATAATATCTTAGGAATGAATTTAAAATCCCACTACGACGATAACAGCCGCCAGTATGCGATAATGATCAAACGATGTATAATGTATCACATATGCAGTATTTTCGAAGTGGAAAAAGTAAAAATAATAGTATCCACGTACGAATAAACTTATTTGGCGAATAAAATAATTTTAATCACAGAAACGATTAAAGAAAGAATGTATGTATATGAGTAACAAACTACATTAAAAGTACTTTTTTTTTTTGTTTAACTCTTGTCTTTAAAGACATCAAAATCTCTTAAAATTTGAAGTACAATAAATATCAAAATGATGCTAACCACTGCATTCTCCTCAACAAACACCGGTTGTTCCTTTTCGTCCGCCTTCTTCTCAGTAATGGCCTTTGTGATGATCGTCATTTTGATAAATGTTTTGACTTCAAACTTTCTCAAATATATCAGCAAACGAAATCTGTTTTCGTGCGTCCGATCGTACAACTCCAACGAACGATCACCGCACTTCGACGAATGTTAAAGTTAACACAATATGTACGTAGATATTGCACACTACAGCCCACAAAATTTCAGAATGAACTGCATACATACAAATGCAACCGAGATTGATCGGTGACAACCGCGCCCTCAATGCACTAATAAATACGATCTGCGCATGCGTCAACTCCAAGCAAAAAAGTCGACCCGAGTCGACCGTTCTCAGCGTGTACATACATACTATGCATGTATTCTCTTTCAAACACACATACACACAATTTATCATACAACACAGGAAGCACAAGAGCCTGATATTATTATTTAACTTGATATTTCTTTCATGTCCTCTGTAACGGTACAAGGAAATTATGGATAAAATTAGATGTACTTTTAAAGACAATGAATTAATAAATCAAAAAGAACGAGATAAAGATTCACTTAAAAAAGAAATAATCAATAATCATGCAGAACTCGACCATGATGAATTAGTAAAATTAACTAAAGAAGCAATTCACAATATAATCGAAAGTGACCCGTTGCTCTCTGGTCTACCAACTGATGTTACAATCGAAGAACTTAAAGCTCAAATTGCAGTTGCACAAGGACAAGCAATAACTTTATACCTAAATCGTGGAGAATTACCGAAACTTGGAATTGTGGTAATACTTTAAAATAATTTTTAATAATAACAA